ATGGTTATGAAGATTAAATTAGGGAAAGCCCAGGTTAATATCCACATGCCAGGAGTGTGCCTTCCCAAGCCCATGTCCTTTTCCAGGATGGGAGGCCCCCCAGGACCTCTACTTTAGAACCCTACATAGGTTCTGGCCATAAGGCCTCCGAGGTCTTGGTCTGCACACACTGTTCTCTTGGTTGATGCTCCCACCTTTGGAAGCCAATGCTGCCAACTTGGCCTCTTGCAAAACACATTCCATTCGTAAGTGCGTTTGTGCATTTTTCCTCCCACACCCTTCTAGGCAGCCAGTGAAGAGCTGCCAAGGCAGCTGCTGGAGGAGCAGATTCTCATTTGGGGGGGAAAGCAACTCCGTGGATTTTACAGAACTCATGATTAGGACTTGGATATACTCCCAAGTTTCTAGCCTCCTTGCTTCATAGTAAGGTTCTTTAGGACATCCAGTCATGTTTTTCATTTCCTGTTGTCCCCCTTTTTGTAAGTAAACTCTTCTCTATTATAAGGAAAACTGATAGAAAATGAAAAATCCAGTAAAGTTAAAATCACATCTAATCCCACAAAACTGCCATTATCTTATGATCATATTTTTCCGTTATTCAAAAGTAGTTTCAATAGCTGTATAATATTCCACTGTCATGGTAATTTCTAATAGCTGCTATTAACAAAGTGTTCCAGTAACATTGCCAGTTACCTCCTTCAGATCTTTGAGATTGTTTGAGGAAATTGTTTGAGGAAAACTTCTTGAAGTCTAACACTTGATTTTTTTTAATTCCAGAAACGTTTTTACCATTTGCTAACATGGATTTGTTTAAAACTCTTTGCCAATTTGATAGGTTTTTCACTGTAGATCTAATTGATACTTGAATATCCTTTATATAGGCATTTTTTTTTTAAGATTTTATTTTATTTGTGCATACAGAACTGGGATACAGGCCAGAGATGTGGAGGGTGAGAGAATTCACCAGAGACAGAGTGGAGTGCAGAACAGGCAGATCAACGAAATGCACTGCTGAGGGGAGCAGCGGGCGGGTCAGGAGAGGTCTGCCACGCCATGTGGTCACCTCCGGGGCAGGCGGGAATTGAACTCATGAAGAAGTGGCTTTAGATTCTCAGTGCTGTGCTTTAACCCGCTGCGCCACCAGGGAGGGCCCTATAGGCATTTTTTTTTAACATAAGATTTTTTGGCTAATTATTTTACTTCACTGAGTTGCCCATATCCTTTGTTCATGTTTCTGTTGAGTATTTTTGTTGATACTGAACTTTCATGGTCTTTATAGTATCTTTTTTGTCAATTACTACACAGTTTTCATTCTTTAAGATATGTAAACTATAGAAGTTTGTCTTCTGTTGCACTCATGCTTAGGAAGTCTTAAGAGAATTAGTTGATATCCAGTGACATATAGAGAGTGAATTTTTAATGACTTAATTTTTACACTTACACCTTTATTACTTCTGGAATTAATTTGAGCATAGGCTACCTTCCCCAAATACTTAAGATTTTACGCTATTACTTAGTTTTTACTTACTAATAAGGATCAGGATCCCTTACTACCTAAATCCATGTATTATGGAGTCATGTACAGTTGTTAGTTTCATCTGTCTTGTTTTACAATCCATCCCAGTTTTGAGGCTCTATTTTAATATACAGCAGTTACCACAAAAATGGAGCCCATGGAGAGTACCCATCAACATGGCTCATAAGACACCACCAAGTTAGATGTCTCACTGCTTACTGCATTGCTGCCATAGTCCACTAGAACTTCCTCAGCACCTGAAGGCAAGAGGCTGAATCAAGGCTAGAGTACTTAGGAAATGCCCGTATAAGTGCCCATGGCATTCATAAGACAGAGCCAACCTCAGACATCACAGCAAAGGAAAGATGAGGCTGGCTCCCCGGCTTCTCCTTCCCAGACTTTTGATCTAGGTCAAAATCTAGAGCTTGAAGATGTCTCTAGGGCCACTCCAACCATGTGCTTTGGCATATAGATCTGAGAAGAAGGGAGAGACCCGTGCTGGGAACCCTTCGATGTTCCTCTGAACTCTCAGCTCTACCTTCAAATATACCTTTCTTACTAGAAAAATTCCATTCCACCTACTGTCATGCTTATCTGTTGAGTGTGTGAAATTACTTGCCTTCTTCCCATCTCCTACCCCCCACAACCAAAAACTATATTTCAGCTTAATCTGACCAGCACTATGACACTTATAGGGTGAGGCACTATACAAGAGCCAACTATTAAGTATATGGTCTGGGAGGTATAAAAATTATCACCCTTAGATTTCCTTGCAGCCTCCATCTGATAACCTTGATAAAAGGGGAAATTTCAGTTAAGGAAATTTTATAGTCTCTAACTAGAAAGAGGCTATTGCCATGACTCCAGAGCCCAATCCAACTGAAAAGATAAAGCACATCTAATCTTTTAGGAGATGCCCACATGCGCCTGGGAAATGTTTGTGGAGGCCATTAGGCCTCAATCAAAGAAATAAGATGACTCCCCAATAGCATTCCAGAAAATACAACAAAAGGAAGCTAAGGGTCACAAGGCTCTACCATAACAAGACTTCTAGAATGTAACAGCCAACTGCAGCCACAAAGGATGTTAGTCTAAGCCTGCCCATCACCCCAGCCTGGCATAGAGGGAAGCTGATCCCCAAGAGCAGCAGTGACTCAGGAAAGGTTGCATGTGACCAAGGCAACCACCCCGGCCCGTTCTCCGGGTTTCCTAATTCACCCCACAGCCTTTTAGAGCCTGTAGTGACCGTGCTTGTCTCTCAGGTACTTTACATGCACTTTGTTAACTCAAACACAGATGGAAACAAGTGTCTTGATGATACAGATGAGTAAACGGAAACTCAGATTTCACTAACTTGCCGAAAGTAACAGCAGTGGCAGCATGTCTCCTTGGCTGTTGCTGTCACCCCGGCGTGTGGTGAAGCCATCCTTTCAGCAGTGTTCAAGTGTGATTTTTACTCCTCTCTGCAGTCTGTACAGCCCAATGGTAATGGCCATGAAAGGCTCCTGTGCATTCTGCGTACAAGAGCACATGAAGCCCAAAAGCCACCCCACCAGGCTTTAGTGACAGGCCATCATTCATGTTTGGAATCTGGGAATCCTGTGTGACCTGGGCTATTTTTCAAGAAGCTGCTATCCAATTATGTTGGGGGCAAGACCAGGTTCAATCTTACTCCATAATAAAACCACCAATTTTGTATGTTTTGTTCCAGAGTTGGCAATACTCAAGTAAACAAATTTATTAATTCCAACAGCAGGTAACCTTCCAAAAAAACAAAAAACAAAAAAAAAAAAAACATCGAAAAAAATGTAGACATCAAAGACAAAAATGTGTATAACAAGTTAATAAAAATATTCAAGGGGCCATTTGGAGAGTGCAACAGTGCAGAGAATACAAACAAAATATTGACTTTTGTCAACAAGTTTGTACAGCCTCACAAAACACACACTGGTCACAAACCAAGAGGAATCCACAAAGGTGGAGGGTCACATGAGCAGTGGACTCATCACCTCAGCGGGTTAAGGCAGGGAATCTATAGGACCAACTCATCCAAGCCCTGTTTGCCTATTGCTTCAAATTCCCCCTTTGAAACCTAGAATCATATTCATTAGTGCAACAGGTAAGAGCAATTAATCACAGACTTGGGGGCTAAGGACCAGGGTCAGAGGGAAGACACTTCCCAGAATAAATGTGTGTTGGGGGGAAAAACCTACAGCAGCTGCTGAATGGCTTCCTTTGGCAATATCTAAGATTTGTGTTGAGAGGAACAGGAAGGGGAAGTAGGTGGTGGAAATCGGTGTCCACAAGAGCAGGCTGACATCCTAAGAGGAGGAACAGAGGAGATGGGCACCCCAGCCTATGAATCAAAAGCAGCCTGGAGATTATACACAGAGCTGTTCGAACCATCTTGGCTTTTGCAAACTGTGAGCATCTTTCAATTAGGAAAAATGCCTGCTGATCCTTACAGAAACACCATCCGAGTCCAAGCAAAACTGGATGTGTGCTAATTCATCACAGCTTTCCAGAGGAATCAACTCTGATGGGGAGAAGGGTGGAAACACCCTCTATGTGATTCAGAAAAGAGTGTGGCCTAAGAGGAGGCTGGCTCTATGTCACATGTCCTCAAATGAGGCCCAATTAACACACTTGAATAACTTATGTCCTTTCAGCCATTTATAAAATTACTTCTGAAGTCCTCCAAGGAAGACCTTTGTCAATCAGCAAGATTTTCAAGTCTCCCAAGAAGACCTTTGTCAGTTACCAAGATGTTCATGTCACCACTAACCAAACACTAGACACAGCGTGGCAAAGCAGACAGTGACAACAAACCCAGCAGCAGCTTCCTTCCAGCCCTTCTAACTATAGAATCGAAACTTTGGGCTTTACTACACTGAAGTTGTCATTTAAATGACAAATCGAGCTCCTTAAGTATAGCTCTAAAAGATTTTTAAACTTTTAGACCCAAGTCCTTATCTCAGTAAATTTTCATTATTTTTAGAACAAAATTTGGCAAAGCAGAGAATAGGAGGTGATCACGTGACTACAGAGTCCCACACCCCATGCTCTCCAGCACGGAGGGCTGTTTTAGCACCAGCCTCTGGGAGATTGGCCCTGTTTCAATGACCAACTAATACTGTGTGGCTTAATTCCTTCTTTCCACAAAATCTAGTTCTGCTAGGGAAGTCTCAAACATCGCCCTGTACAATTCCAGCTGGATTTCCATAGGCGAGGGGGTTTGGATGAAATGTGATTCTTCACTTAGTTTTAGAAGAGATGGGGTTTGCACCCAACTCACAAGGGCACATCTGGCAGGGATGAGGCTGAGGGAGGACTGGTGAGGCAACCAGCTGAAGCCTAGCAAAGTGTCATGATGGCG